CGAGCCTCTGGGTTGTCCCAACTTCTTGTCCCATCTTCACTTCCAATTCTAAGCCTCTCAAAGGTAGGGACCACAGCCACGTGTGGTGACCCACGTCTGTAACCTCAGTGACTCGGGAGTCTGCAGCAGGAGCTTCGCAAGTTTGAGACCAGCCTGGACAACTTGGTGAGACCCTGTCTCAAAAACTAAAAAGGGCCGGGATGTGGCTGGGGTAGAGCACCCCGGGTTCAGTCTCCAGTACCATCAAAAATTAAAAAGGAAGGAACAAGGGGACTGCATGTAGAATCCTGAGGGTCCGCCCGTGCTGTGGGCTGTGTCTGAGAGCCCAGTGGTGACATCCTCCCGTGGTGCGAGCTGGACAGTCCTCACGTGTCGGCTGGCTCTCTGCCCACCCCGGGTCAGTTAGGGAGCAGAGACTCAGATGCTGTGGTTTCCCCAAGGTCACTCGGCCAATAGGAACCCCCATGCCGGCTGGTGACACAGGACCTCTGGGGCCGGCTCTCCTCTCTGGGCTCCGAGTCCTGTGGGACACCAGGAGGGGCCTGGTACGACCTTCCTCTCAAGCCACAGCCGGTCTTTGGCCTGGCTGTGGAGCCTGGCTGCTCTGGGGACAAGGGGGGAGGGGGAGGGCTGGAAGTGAAGGCCACAGCCTTGTCCTGCTGCCTGCTCCAAGGACAGCCCAGCCTGGCTGGGAGACCAGTCGCTGATCTGTGGACCTAGGACAATGCAGGGGGCAGGAGGGAGAGGCTGGGAGGGAAAGTCCCTTTTTACCTGGAGCTGGATTGAGCCATGGAGGGTCAGTTCTCCTGGGATATTGCCCTGGGGCCTTCTGGCAGGACACTCTTGGCTTCCACAATGCATGGCACGGGCTCGGCCTCCAGAGGTGCTTGGCGAGTGTCTGCCACCTCAATGGAGGGGTGAGTGAGTGTGTGCATGGGTGTGGAAGAGCCAGGGCCTGGGCCTTGCTGTCTCAGGATTTTTCGGGGAGGGGTGGGATGCTGGGGGTTGACCCAGGGACGCTCCACCGCTGAGCTACCGCCCCAGGCCTTTCATTTTATTTTGAGACAGGGTCTCACCAAGTTGCCGAGGCTGGCTTCGAACTTGTGACCCTCCTGCCTAAGCCTCCTGAATCGGTGAGATTACGGGCCTGTGCCAGGGCGCCCGGCTTCCTCTCAGTACCGCTGTGCCCAGCGCACTAGGGTTGACACCTTGGCCCCGGCCACCTCAGAGCTGTGTGACCTTGTACAGATTGCTTCCCCTGTCTGGGCCCATTTCCTCATCTGTGAATGGGGCTAAAAATAGACACCCCCCTGCAGAGCCTGCTATTCGGATGCACCCAGATGAGGGCCCCAGTGCACGTGGGGTGTGGCCCAGAGGGGACACTTGGGAAATGCTCGCTGTTGGTATTAGTACCAAGGTGCACATTGCTATTTCTGAACTTCCCCCTCGCGCTGGTTGGGGGGGCTCCTGGACACCCCCTGCAGCCAGACAGGCAGAGAAAGGTGACAAAAGACAGGACCAAAGGCCCCAATTCCCTGTTCTTTTAATAAAAATAAAGATGGCCCGTAGACATCCCTCTCTCGCTCATTGTTCTGCCAAGGCAGGCTGCAGACCCGTCCCTCCTTGGACTTGGGAAGTTCCTTCCTTTCTTTCCCGTCCCCTGTCACATTTCCTTTATCTAAATCCTCAGCTATGAAAGGGCATATCGACAGCTGGGGGCGTTATCTGGTGGAGGGGACCTTTTCCTCGGGTGTCTCCGAGATAAGGCGTCTTATCAGCCCCCGTGTCAGGGACGGTGCCAAAGCATTCTCATCATTGAGGCTTGAGACATTTTTCCTCCCTCCCTCTCACCCCCCTTTTTATTATTAAAGCCACAAAAGACCTTGAGCTTATAAACAGTCTGATTTGCAGATAGGATTTCAAAATGAGCAGCTCTCTGGATGGTCCCCAGCAAGGCTGGGGGAGTAATGAATCCATGTGGGGACACTGGGGGACTGGCAGTCTGCAGCTGGGATGGTGCCAGGCAGTGAGGGGGGTAGGGTGGGGGTCAAAAAGATCATGAGTGCTTTAAGCGCCCACCCACTCCTGTCCCTGGCTTGCTGTGTGGCCTTGTACAGGAGACTTGGCTTCTCTGGGCCTCAGTTACTTCACATGCAAATAATCAATTCATTGATGGAGCCATTCAGTCGACACCTGTTTATTAAACGGTTACTCTCTGTCAGGTACAGGGGACAGAAAAACAAATAAGACACGCACAGTCCAGTAGCCAGAAACAGATGTGAAAATTGGCCATTACAACGGGGTGTGATTAGGGCTGTGGTGGGAGGACCCAGAAGAGGGGGCGAAGCCGAGCCAGGACCCGCCCAGGGGCCACACAGGTGACTGTCTGGAGGCCTGGGGTGGCCAGCAGAGGCCAGGGAGACAGGTGGGCAGGCCTAGGGCCTTGCGTGCCCAGTGGAGACGGTCAGGCTGGGTTTGAGGCTCAGGAGAAGGTTCTGGCTTGTCTGGTTTGCAGGTGTCGGGATGCAGGTGTCCACTGGTGTTCCCTTGGGACTGCCCTGGAAAGGCCAGCTGAGGCCTCCTCCCAGAAATGCCCTCTGGCCCCTGAGCTCAGTCGCCTGGTCCCTATCGCTCTCTGCACTGCCTGGACGTCCACTGCGGCAGCCCCCAGACAACCAGAGCCCCTGGGGTGTGGCCCTGGGACCCTAAGGGCCCCCCGGGGGAGGCAGCCTGAGCATGCGGTGTGGTCCCTGCAGCACTGGGGCCAGGTCTGGAGAGGGACTGAGTTTCTGGCACCTGGTGAACAGCTGCAGGTAGAAAGAAAATGACCTGGGGGACCAGAGGGACCCTGGAGTGACTTCAACAAGCCACAGAGGGGCAGTAGCCCTCCTGGGGTTGCTGAAGGGCTGGGATGGAGGACACTCAGTTTCCAGCCCAGATCCACGGCCAGCGCCTTCCTCCCCCGCCCAGCACTGCCCACCGTGGGCGGCAGCAGAGCCCGTGGTGAAGGGCAGGCTCCCCCGGGCCGCTCTGGGTGCCCTGGGCTGGGCATTGTCCCTCTCTGGTCTGCATTTCCCATTTGTTAGAAGGGCGGGCGCAGGCTGGCTTTCTCAGGCTCTCCCCGCTGCCCCCAGCCCCTGAACAGGAGGGCAAGAGGTGGTCACCTCTTGGAGCGGGAGGTGGCTGCCCAGCGTCCCTGTGGACCTCCTGCCTGCAGGTGCCCGGGAGGGTATTGCGGCCCCGGGAGCTGTGCAGGGCCCCAAGCGGGTGCAGAAGCCCAGCTCTGGGTGGGGCGGAGCGTGCCCATGTGCCTGGCTGTGTCCTCCAGGCCTGTGTCCAGGGACACAGGAGCAGTGGCCCAAGCCAGGCCTGCTCCCGCCACCTGCTCACGTCCCAGATCCCAGAGGGAGCGGTGCCGCGTGCCACTGTCAAGGACTTTCCTCCCGCCATCAGCCCACTTCACTCCCTTTTGAAACCGTGTCATTGCTGCCTGATTGTAATGGCATATTTTAAAATTACCAGAAATCAAAGCCGGGAAGTGGATACTGCGGCTCTGAGGGCCTCGATGGCGATCGGGGAGGGGGGAGGCTCCCCTCCCCTCCCCCACGCCACCCCCCACTCTGTCTCTTTCTCTCTCTTTTTTTTTGAGACAGTAATAGGAGAAAATTGGTTTTGAAACTGAATAAAAGTCCCTTTCAGAGGAAATCATTTCTTTCAGGGTACCTTGGCTGAAAGTAAAATAGAACATAATGAAAGGTGGTTACTGATTGTCTTTCACGTACCAAGAGGCCGGGGACAGACGGAGGCTGCCACCGTCTCGGGGAAATACAAGATTGGAATAATTGCGCCCTAACAAGGAGCTTGTTGTGAAATTAGTATCTTAAGAAAGTGGCGAGAAAAGGCTTCTCCTCATGAATACTTCATTATTAGAAGAAAGCGGCGGGATTTGGGCTCAGACACCTGTTTAGTATTAAATAACTCCCCTCTCTCCTGTGGCGCCCCCTCCCCTCCTTTCCTTCTCTTTTCAAACCAACATGAGGGTGGAGGTGACCTGGCCCAGCTGCTGGGGACCTAGCCCGGGAAGGCATGGCCTGTCTGGGTGGCCCTTAGGGGTGTCCTAGGTTGAGCTCACACCTGGACCCGCCTTCTCCACAGCAGGGAGGGAGGGAGGGAGGGAGGACGGGGCCTGGCAGGAAAACGTCCACCTCTCCTGGTGGCCTACCAGGCAGGCCTGTCCACACCCCACTCCTCAGGGACTCCTGGGAATGTGCCTCGCCTCCAGTGTCCAGTGTCCAGCCACATCTGGCTGCCACCTTCTGGGTAAAGACTGCCTGGCAGAGCAGGGCTGCCGAGGGTGACCCTTCCCTTCCCATTGGGGTGAGGCCCTCTGGCAGAGGGTGACAGAGATTGGGCTCAGAGCAGCCTTGGGGGCCTGTGGAGCCACCAGGTACCCCCCAGCCTCTAACATCCCGGGATCTCCACTCCGGTGGCCATGGGAGAATCCCCCAGGTAGGGACCAGACCAACACTTGGACCAAGTGGGACGGTGAGAGGCCCCTGGGGTTTCCTGGGCAGCCCTGTGTAGATTCCAAAGATGAGCAGATGGAGGGAGCGTCCCTCCCCTGGGTCAGCGGATACTCAGGGTCACGTGCAGCTGAGTTCTACCACCAGCCAGGACAGGACAGCCTGCCTTGGGACACACAGGGCAAGGATCTGCCCCATCTCTGGGGCTGTCAGGGCAGCCGGCTAGAGGAGGGGACCTGCAGAGACACATCTGCCTCGTCCTGGAGGGAGACCACCACTCAGGAGGCAGGGTGCTTTGTGTCAGCCTGTGAGGCCGCAGGAGAGCTTCCAGGTGCGCGGCCTGGTCTCACTTGCCTCTGGGGAAGGGATGTCTGCACGGTCTTACGGTCTCCACCGTCTTGCAGGATGCTGGGAGGGTGGTGGAGGTGGGCGTGGGGTGGTCCTCCAATGACAAGCACCTCGTCTCCCTCCCCACAGGGACCCTGCTGCAGAGCGCACCCGGCGAGGACCCCGGCACAGCCATGCTGGCCTGTCTGCAGAGGACCCAGAACCCTCCCGGCCAACACCTGGCCTGCCCAAGCAGGAGCCTGGAGCTGCGCAAGTGTGAGTGTCCTCGCCCAGCCTCCGCGCCCTCTTCCTCGCCTGCTCTGAGTCCACGGGCTTGCTTTCTGTTCTTCAGGCTTCCATGAAGCAGGTCCTGGCCTAGGAACGTCATTTGCACCCCTGATGCCAGCCAACTCCATCTTTTTGGGGATTGAATTCAGGGGCGATCAACCCCTGAGCCACGTCCCCAGCCCTACTTTGCATTTTATTTAGAGACAGGGTCTCCCTGAGTTGCTTAGTGCCCCGCTGTTGCTGAGGCTGGCTTTGAACCGGTGATCTTCCTGCCTCAGCCTCCCGAGCTGCTGGGATGACAGGAATGAGCCACTGTGCCCATTACCCAACCCCATCTTAAAGCCTGTGTGTTCTCTGAGGCCTCTCAGCCTTTGCCCATGCTCTGCTGTCCCCTGTGGGGGGTCTCCCTCCCCACGGTGACACCCACTCCCTGTCTGGCCGACTCCCACGGGGCACGGCCTAATCTCCTTCCCTGAAGACTCTCTTCCCTGCACCTGCACCGAGGCCCAACCTCGCTCTGGGACCCACCGCCCAGCACGTCTGTGTGGCTCGCTCTCATTTTCCTGCATTAACTGAAGGTAGCACAGCAATGCAGCCAGAATCATCCTGGACAGGAGCCCGGCCCCGGGCCTCTCTCATTGGCTGTGTGGTCTTGAGCATGTCCTTTCCCTGGGTCTTGCTTTGTCAATGTAGCAAATTAAGGAGCTGGACGTAGTGACCTTTGGGGGTCTGTCCTCCTTGACCATTGAGCACCAGGTTACTAAACTCTCTGACAATTTTTAGCCTCCACAGGGTTTTGGTTTTTTTTTTTTTTTTTTTTTTAATTTTTGAAGTACCTGGAAACAATTCAAAACAGGGAGATTTGCATAAAGAGCTGGATTTCTAGTGTTTCCTGAAAAACATCAGAGGATCTGGTAACAGGCCTGTGCAGCTGCTGGTTAGAGCTCAGCTGCTGCCTCTTCCAAGGCGCCATTCATCTCTAGCCTGCCACAGTCCCCACCACGCCCTATCGCTTCTCCTGGAGCTAGAATCGGTTGCCACATGACGCTTTACATTTTTCTTGTACTTGCTCATCTCTAGACGAGGTGGCCTTCTTGTCCAGTATTCACAAGGAAGGAAGGGTGTGCAGACAGAGCTTCCCTCTGCCAGAGGTGGCCAGTGCCATCAACTTCCTGCGTGACCTCCCAGATGTGCTGTGTCCCAGCATGTGTGTGCGTGAATGTTTTACACATCATCTTGCACCCTGCTTCTTTTTTTTTAAATTGTCTTTTTCAGTTGTAGATGAACACAATACTGAGGTGTCACAACTCCGTGGTTTTTAGTATGCATCGAATGGTGCACCATCACCACTATTTTAGAACATTTTAGAACATTTTCATGACAAGAAGAAACTCCATGCCCATGGACAGTTCCCCTTGTCCCCCACCTGCCCCCTCTTCCTCAACAGATTTCCCAATTCTGAACTCAGATTGTCTGTGGTCTTTTTGGCTCCTGGCTTCTTTCACTTAGGGTGATGTTTTTAAGACTCACCCAGGTTGTAGTGGGCATATAATACATGTTTTTAAAATTATCTATTTATTTTATGTGGTGCTGAGGATGGCCCAGGGATTCACATGTGCTAGGTGAGTGCTCCACCGCTGAGCCCCAGGCCTATAATACATTATAATATACGGTGGAGCTTGTTGCTCCCTGTTATTCCCACCTCCGAATCTCCTGCTGTATTTATTTTCCCATCTAGACTATGGAATCCATTTATAGAGCAAAAACAAAAATCCTGTTTTTTACTGGTATTACATTATACTTACAGATGAATCTGGGAGGAAATGTCCATTTTACAAGGCCATCTTTTCCTCCAAGAATGTGCTACGCCTTTCAGTTTTATTTGGAATTCCTTTTGATGTTTGCCTCATTTAGATCTTGCACATTTTCTGGTTATGTTCACTTCTGCATAGGTTTAGCTTTTTTTGATTCATTTTCTTCTTCCATAAGTGGAGGCTGTTTCTAGGAAGGCTGTTAACTTCTGCCACTTTACTGAATTCTTTTTATTGTTTATAATGGCTTTTCAATTTCGTCTCTGGGGTTTTCAGGGTATCACTGCAAATGGTAAATTTGCCTACTACTTTGTTCTATCCCTTCATTTCTTTGTTTTATTTCATAGAGTTGGCTGTTGCCCCTGGAACAGTGAAAGTAATGGTGGTAATGGACATTCTTACTTTGAAGTTCTAGATATGTCTCCATTGAGGAAATGTAACTTTGGGCAGGTATTTTATTGGATGAAGTAAGTCTTCATCTAGTCCTGTTAAGGTGTATTAAAATCAAAAGCATATGTTGAACTTTGCCAAATGATTTTTTCATTTTATGAAAATGAACATGCGGTTTCTTTAAACTATTAATACAAAGGACACTATTAGAGTTTTTCATATTGAACCATCCTTGCATTCCTGGTTGAACTCCACTTGGTCATGGGACCTTTATTATTATTATTATTTTATAAAATACTTGCTGGGTTGGGTTTGTTATTTTACACAGACTTTTGCTTCAGTTTCATCACAGATTGTTATTTTTCTAAAATGATTTTTTGTTGGGTTCTGCTGTCTGCAGTCTTTTCCCTGTGCTTTGGGACAACTTGAATAGACATGAGATGATCTGTTCTTTAAAGGTTGGTTGGTTCCCCCATGAAACTGTCTGGAGTATTGCATTTATTTCTGGTGGGTTGGTAGCTCCTTGATGATGTCTTCTATTTCTTCTGCGATAATTGGTTAGTTTCAGTTGTCCTACTGCCTCTTGAATGAATTTGGTAAATTATGTTTGTCTTAAAAACTACCCATTTTATTCAGGTATGTATGTGGGTATGCATGTATGTCTTTTTGTAGTCCTAGGGATTGAACCCAGTCCCTTGCACATGCTACTTCTAAACTACATCCCCAGCCCTTTTAATTTTGCGACAAGGTCTCACTAAGTTGCCCAGGCTGGCCTGGGGCTTGCAATCCTCCTGTCTCAGCCTCCCCAGTAGCTGGGATTATGGACGTGCACCACCATTCCCCACTCAGGCTTTCAAATTTGTTTGCATGAGACTAAATAAAGTAATTTTTTTTTCAGTTCTTTCAAGTGGCGATTTTTACCCTTCTCTCTTTCGTTCTTTCTTATTTTCAGTACTGGGCAAGCCCTTTACCACTGGGCCACATCCCCAGCTCCATCTTAATTCCTTTATTGTGTATTTTGTGCTTTGTTCTCATTTTTCTTGATTGGGTTAGTTAGATAATGATATTATCCATATCCCTTCCCCAAAGATCCATCTTCAGGATTTTTTTTTTTTTTAGTAATTATCTTTTTCTGGTTTCTAATTCATAAATGTATACTTTTAGCTCATTTAAGACTTTCCTTCTGTTTTCTTTTAAATTTTGTTAAGTTACTTAAATCTTTATACTTATAAACAGAAAAGAACAAAACAGGAAGATCAAGGCTGTCTCTGAGCACTTTGGCCGTGCCCTGTAGGTTCTCATATGTGATGTTTTCAATTTCATCATTTTCTAGATACTTCAACATTTTGGTTTAAGACTCATTTGAGCCCCACACGTCTGTTTAGGTAGTAGATGCTTTTCAATGTTTCTGATTTCTAGCATTTTATTTTATTTTGCATTATGAACAAAGAATCTTATCTATTTCTGCTTGTTTGGAACTTTATGGAAGTTTTCTGTGTGACATAATCTACAGTAATTTTTGTGTATCACATGGATTTTTTTTTTTTTAATGGGGACTTAAAAAGAGGTGTGGCCCTGCTTTGGGGATTCAGAGTTTGGTATCTACCAATTATATGTACCCCAGTAATCCTGTTTATCAGGTCTTTGGAATCTCCCCCATCATGGATGAAGAAGGAATCAGACACCTTCTGCTAATGTGTTCCAGTCTGGTTCTTGTATCACCTGCAGCTTTGGCCTTATGAGTGATGATAAGTGTTATTTAGTGCTTAACTATCAGGGCCTTAAATCCATAGGGTATTTTATGCTTTTTGCTCTGGATTCAGTATTATCCATTAAAATGGCAACCTGGCCAGGTGTGGTGCTGTAGGCCTCTAACCCCAGCTACTCAGTAGGCTGAGACAGGAGGAGAGCAAGTTTGGGGCCAGGATTGGCAACTTGGTGAGACCCTGCCTCAAAATAAAAAATGAAAAGGGGGATGGGGATGTAGCTCAGTGGTGGAGCACCTCTGGGTTCAATCCCTGGTACTAAAGGCGGAAAAAAAAAAATAGGAACCTCTACTGTTTTATTACATTTTTCTTGAAATCCTTGCCAATCCTTTTATCTCAGCCTTTCTGAATTAAATGTGACTTGTGTACTATAGAGTGGGATTCAGCTTTGTGATCCAATCTAAGTACCTTTTCCCCCTTTTTTATACACATGTTTTATTTTTTAGGTGTAGATGGACACAACACAATGCCTTTATTTTTATGTGGTGCCGAGGATCGAACCCGGGTCCCGTCTGTGCTGGGCGAGCGCTCTACCGCTGAGACACAATCCCAGCCCTTTCCCCCCTTTTAATAGGAGAGTTTAGCCCATTTACATTTATTGCTATGACAGATGTCTGGTCCTAAGTCAGTCATCATGTACTTTGAGTTTAGAAGCCTCTCACTTCGTGATCTGGTTTCATGTACCTCCTCGCCATAGGGCAGGTTGGTGCTTTTGCTCTGGTAGCGTGATTTTAAATAACTTTCTCTGAGACAAACAAAATGATGAAATCAGTGTCCTCCATTTTCCTCTTGACTTTGTGTTTTTAAACCTCTGTTACCTGACATCAGCTTGAAAGGATCCCTTTTGATCCTGGCTGCTAAAGATGAAGGTATCATCTACTTTACCATCCCCCTGGTGACCCGGCCTTTCCCTTTGATGTCAGTGATGCCATTACTTAGAAAGTGGGCAGTTGGCTACATCCCCACATCTGCCTCCATCTCAGTCTCCTTGATAAATAAGCTCAGTGCTTGCCACGGCTCC